GCTTGAGTCAGGGAAATCCTTTCTCCCCATGGTATGTAAAGTACCAATGACAGATGTCAGGCTGGGGAGGAGGTCTCAGCTCTTGTCAGTTCAGGGGATGTGGTTGAGCATTGGACCCCCCTGGTCCAGGGACTATCAGTGCATATGCAATCCACACTGTAATCATAAGCGCAAAAGGCACATGAAGAACCACTGCAGCCATAGTAAGTCACATGAGTGAATCCAGGGAGTTCTGCAAAGAGCCAGGCACTGTGGAATGTGTAATAATATAAACACCTTTCTATGACGTGTACCTTTATTGAAGGATGGTACATAACAAGATGAAAAATAAAAAGCCTACTGTACTGGAATAACCCTAATAAAGAGTATGGGATCAGAAGAAAACAATCAGTAATAATTCAATTAAAAGCAAAGTTTAAAAAAAAAAAACATTTAAAAAAAAAAAACAAAAAGGTATATCTGGAGATCTCGTATAAAACCCACATGGGATACAACTGGAAAAAAAATTATTACGAACAAAAAAAAATTAAAATAAAAAGGACCAATATCCTGGAGGAGTGGAGGAAGATGATAATATCACAACTGAGGATAACCATATCATTATACATACAGGTGAAACTCGAAAAATTAGAAAATCGTGCAAAAGTTCATTTATTTCAGTAATGCAACTTAAAATGTGAAACAAATATATGAGATAGACTTATTAGATACAAAGCAAGATAGTTCAAGCCATGATTTGTCATAATTGTGATGATTATGGCTTACAGCTCATGAAAACCCCAAATCCACAATCTCAGAAAATTAGAATATTACATGCAATCAATAAAACAAGGATTTTACATAGAAAAATATCAGACCTCTGAAAAGTATAAGCATGCATACAGTCAGGTCCATAAATATTGGGACATCGACACAATTCTAAAATTTTTGGCTCTATACACCACCACAATGGATTTGAAATTAAATGAACAAGATGTGCTTTAACTGCAGACTGTCAGCTTTAATTTGAGAGTATTTACATCCAAATCAGGTGAACGGTGTAGGAATTTCAACAGTTTGCATATGTGCCTCCCACTTGTTAAGGGACCAAAAGTAATGGGACAATTGGCTTCTCAGCTGTTCCATGGCTAGGTGTGTGTTATTCCCTCATTATCCCAATTACAATGAGCAGATAAAAGGTCCAGAGTTCATTTCAAGTGCGCTATTTGCATTTGGAATCTGTTGCTGTCAACTCTCAAGATGAGATCCAAAGAGCTGTCACTATCAGTGAAGCAAGCCATCATTAGGCTGAAAAAACAAAACAAACCCATCAGAGAGATAGCAAAAACATTAGGCGTGGCCAAAACAACTGTTTGGAACATTCTTAAAAAGAAGGAACGCACCGGTGAGCTCAGCAACACCAAAAGACCTGGAAGACCATGGAAAACAACTGTGGTGGATGACCGAAGAATTCTTTCCCTGGTGAAGAAAACACCCTTCACAACAGTTGGCCAGATCAAGAACACTCTCCAGGAGGTAGGTGTATGTGTGTCAGTCAACAATCAAGAGAAGACTTCACCAGGGTGAATACAGAGGGTTCACTACAAGATGTAAACCATTGGTGAGTCTCAAAAACAGGAAGGCCAGATTAGAGTTTGCCAAACGACATCTAAAAAAGCCTTCACAGTTCTGGAACAACATCCTATGGACAGATGAGACCAAGATCAACTTGTACCAGAGTGATGGGAAGAGAAGAGTATGGAGAAGGAAAGGAACTGCTCTTGATCCTAAGCATACCACCTCATCAGTGTGAAGCATGGTGGTGGTAGTGTCATGGCGTGGGCATGTATGGCTGCCAATGGAACTGGTTCTCTTGTATTTATTGATGATGTGACTGCTGACAAAAGCAGCAGGATGAATTCTGAAGTGTTTCGGGCAATATTATCTGCTCATATTCAGCCAAATGCTTCAGAACTCATTGGATGCCGCTTCACAGTGCAGATGGACAATGACCCAAAGCATACTGCAAAAGCAGCTAAAGAGTTTTTTAAGGGAAAGAAGTGGAATGTTATGCAATGGCCAAGTCAATCACCTGACCTGAATCCAATTGAGCATGCATTTCACTTGCTGAAGACAAAACTGAAGGGAAAATGCCCCAAGAACAAACAGGAACTGAAGACCGTTGCAGTAGAGGCCTGGCAGAGCATCACCAGGGATGAAACCCAGCGTCTGGTGATGTCTATGTGTTCCAGACTTCAGGCTGTAATTGACTGCAAAGGATTTGCAACCAAGTATTAAAAAGTGAAAGTTTGATTTATGATTATTATTCTGTCCCATTACTTTTGGTCCCTTAACAAGTGGGAGGCACATATGCAAACTGTTGTAATTCCTACACCGTTCACCTGATTTGGATGTAAATACCCTCAAATTAAAGCTGACAGTCTGCAGTTACAGCACATCTTGTTCATTTCATTTCAAATCCATTGTGGTGGTGTATAGAGCCAAAAATTTTAGAATTGTGTCGATGTCCCAATATTTATGGACCTGACTGTATGTACTCAATACTTGGTTTGGGCCCCTTTTGCAGAAATTACTACCTCAATGCGGCGTTGCATGGAAGCTATCAGCCTGTGGCACTGCTGAGGTGTTATGGAAGACCAGGATGCTTCAATAGCGGCCTTCAGCTCTTCTGCATTGTTCGGTCTCATGTCTCTCATCTTTCTCTTGGCAATGCCCCATATATTTTCTATGGGGATTCAGATCAGGCGAGTTTGCTGGCCAATCAAGCACAGTAATCCCACGGTCATTGAACCAGGCTTTGGTGCTTTTGGCAATGTGGGCAGGTGCCAAGTCCTGCTGGAAAATGAAGTCAGCATCCCCATAAAGCTCGTCTGCGGAAGGAAACATGAAGTGCTCCAAAATCTGGTAGATGGCTGCATTGATCCTGGACTTAAGGAAGCACAGTGGACCAACACCAGCAGATGACATGGCTCCCCAAATCAACACAGACTGTGGAAACTTCACACTGGACCTCAAGCATCTTGCAGTGTGTGCCTCTCTATTATTCCTCCATACTCTGGGTCCTTGGTTTCCAAATGAGATGCACAAGTTGCTCTCATCAGAAAAGAGGACTTTGGACCACTGAACAACAGACCAGGTCTGTTTTTCTTTAGCCCAGGTACAACGCTTCTGACATTGTTTGTTGCTCAGGAGCAGCTTGACAAGAGGAATACGACATTTGAAGCCCATGTCCAGGATCCATCTGTGTGTGGTGGCTCTTGATGCACTGACTCCAGCCTCAGTCCACTCCTTGTGAATAAATCCCCAACACTTTTTAATGGCCTTTTCCTGACAATCTTCTCCAGGCTGCGGTCATTTCTGCTGCTTGTTCACCTTTTTCTTCCACACTTTTCCCTTCCACATAACTTTCTATTTATGTGTGTCACATACCTGCGTAGTGAGCCTGACGTGAAGAGGCAGACCTCTCGTACAACCCCGGCTCGGGGACCGCTGGGAGTGAAACAGCGGTCGCAGGAGCTCGGTGGGGCAAGAGGGCCTGGGATCTGTCTGGTGATAGCTGTTGGACTGATGAGTAGCAGGCCAGAGCAGGGTGCAGATGGATCCGTGCAGGATGGATGGATACAGGTGCACCGTGTAGCGAGAAGCAGAGTCAGACGGGCCGGGTTCAGTATTAGACGAGACAGATCAGGCATGGACAGCAAGCAGGAGAATAGTCAGATCACGGGCCAGGTTCAGCAACAGGAGGTCAATCAATCAGGAGCAGGCAGAAGAGTAATCCAAGGACAGGCCAGAAGTCAGGGCAGGAGACGATCAATCGGAAGTCAGGAACAGGCTGGTTTTGGCAACAAGGAACAATCACAGAGGTCAGGAACACAAGCAGGGAAAAGACCATATGGCAATGAGACATCCACAGCATGCAGCTTAAATAGCCCGCTTGGCGCCAGCATAAGTGACAGCCGCGCATCCACTTGCGCGAGTGCGCATGCGCAGCCACGCACGCCTCTGTCCAGGCACCCGCACATCTGTTCGGCTTGCCAGAACCCGGCGCATGCGCATATTCGTGCGCCACGAATCTTCACTTGTACTACTGGAAGGCATTTCCTGACAATGTGCTTCGATACAGCACTTTGGGAACATCCAGCTTCTTTTGCAATTAACTTTTGAGGCTTTCCCTCCTTATGGAGGGTGTCAATGATGGTTTTCTGCACAACTGTCAGGTCAGCAGTCTTTCCCATGATTGTGATTCCTACTGAACCAGACTGAGAGACCATTTAAAGGCTCAGGAACCCATTGCAGGTGTTATGGCTTAATTAGCTGATTAGAGTGGGACACTTTGAGCCTAGAATATTGCACATTTTCACAATATTCTAATTTTCTTAGATTGTGGATTTGGGGTTTTCATGAGCTGTAAGCCATAATCATCACAATTATGACAAATCACGGCTTGGACTATCTTGCTTTACATGTAATGAGTCTCTCTCATATATTAGTTTCACCTTTTAAGTTGCATTACTGAAATAAATAAACTTTTGCACGATATTCTAATTTTTTGAGTTTCACCTGTATAGTAACAACATTTTAGTGAAAATATCCAACAATATATATATAGGGGGCCATAAAGTGATTATAATGAAAAAGTAATACAAATAAATTAATAACACATCCGTGTACACAGGAGCGGGGAGGGAGAGACAAAGAAAAGCCAGAATGACAAATCGAAGAAAACCATATATATACTCCTTAGGCTTAACAAAATATTATTATTAACCACTTGCCTACTGGGCACTTATACCCCCTTCCTGCCCAGGCCAATTTTCAGCTTTCAGCGCTGTCGCGTTTTGAATGATAATTGCGCGGTCATGCAACACTGTACCCATATGAAATTTTTATAATTTTTTTGAGACAGATAGAGCTTTCTTTTGATGGTATTTAATCACCTCTGGGTTTTTTATTTTTTGTTAAACAAACAAAAATTTTTGAAAAAATAGTTTTTTCTTAGTTTTTAAAATTTTGTAAATAAGTGATTTTTCTCCTTCACTGATATGTGCTAATGAGGCTGCAGTGATGGACACTGATAGGGGGCACTGATCGGCATTGACAGGCATCACTGATGGGCACTGAAAGGCAGCACTCATATATGGCACTGATAGGCAGTACTGACTAGCACTGATAGGGGGCACTGACTGGCACTGTTAGGTGGCACTGACTGGCATTGTTAGGTGGCACTGATAGGCAGTACTGATGGGCACTGATGGTCAGCACTGACTGGCACTGATAGGCGGCACTCATATATGGCACTGATAGGCGGCACTGATAGGCAGTACTGACTAGCACTAATAGGCGGCACTGACTGGCACTGTTAGGTGGCACTGACTGGCATTGTTAGGTGGCACTGATAGGCAGTACTGATGGGCACTGATGGTCAGCACTGACTGGCACTGATAGGCGGCACTGACTGGCACTGATAGGTGGCACTGATTGGCAGCACTGATAGGTGGCACTGACTGGCATTGATAGGTGGCACTGAAAGGCAGCTCAGGTGGGCACTATGTGGTATTGATGTGCACTGGTAGGCACTGATATGTGGTATTGATGTGGCACTGATGGGCACTGGCAGGTGGCACTGATGAGCACTGACAGCTGGCATTGATGGACACTGACAGGTGGCACTGCTGGGGCTACACTGATTATCAGGGCACACTGATCATCAGTGCCCTGATGATCAGTGTACATGTCCCCTCTGAGGAATGCCGATTACCGGCTCTCCTCTCCTCTCAAGCTGTCAGCGTGACAGCTCGTGAGGAGAGAGAAATGCCGATAACCGGCATCTCCCTATTTACATGTGATCAGCTGTGATTGGACACAGCTGATCACATGACTGAGCCGAAATCTTCAGCTCTTTCCATTGATCAGTGATCCGCTGTGTCCGAGAGACACAGCGCACTGCCGATCGCTGCGCGCTCTCGGAGCCACGCATACGCGGTTATAATGTGAAGATGTCATATGACGTCCTCCCAGAGCGAGAGAACCACCTTGTGCCTGTCATTTCCTTATATGGTGGGTGGGAGGGGGTTAAACAAGCAGACAAGGGAGGTAGTCTAGTGGTCCAACATACCACAGACTACATTAAGGAGTCCATTTGCCTCCTTTCTGATGCTAGCACCTACCAGAAACTAAAAGATGACCCTTTACCTGTCTACCAGAAGGTACTCAAAACATTGCTGGATACAGCTTACAACAATGGAGTTATTAACAAGAAAGAAAAATCGTTTTTACTTCCCACGGTTTGTAGTACCCCATATTACCATCTCCCAAAGGTTCACAAGTCCATCATCCATCCACCTGGAAGTCCCATAGTGGCCAATACCAACAGTTTCACCAATGGCCTGTCCAAGTATATAATCATTTTCTTCAACAACTTGCCATACAATTAACACCCTTTATTAGGGGCTCGAGTCATGTCATAGAGGTTCTGAAGCAATACAAGTGGCAACCGGGGTACAACTGGGCATTATTAGACGTGTCCTCACTTTATATCTCCATTCCCCATCGAGTGGGCCTATCTGCCCTCCAACACTTTCTATTATCTGATGCTCATATGAATTCTATCCAAGCTGGTTTTATTATTGACTGCACAGATTTATCTTTACACCATAACTATTTAACATTTTTAGACCAATGTTATTTACAGATTAATGGCACAGCAATGGGTGCAAATTTTGCTCTCTGCTATGCCAATTCAACGATGGGCCTTTAGGAAAAAGAGTACATACGGTCAAATAATCCCTTTGCAGAGCATATCGTCTTTTTTGGCAGATATAGTGACAATGTTTTATTGATTTGGGATGGTGGTCTAGACTTATTTTTATCCTTTGTGACACACTGCAATTCCAATACCTTTGGGATATCATTCACCCATGTTTTTGATTCACAAAGTATTATTTTTTTAGATCTAGTTTTATCAGCTGAGGGGGATGTGATTCACACTACCAATTATACAAAACCTAATAGTGGTAATTCCTACCTACACTACTCTAGCTGTCACCACCCGGCATGGAAAAAAAACAATATCCCTAGTGGTCAGTTTCAGGGATTAAGGAGGAATTGCTCCAAACCCCATGATTACCAAGAACTAGGTACCCTTCTGTCCACCAAGTTCCTTGAAAAAGGTTATCCCTCTACCCTTATTATCTTCACCAAACATAGGGCGACCCCAAAAACAACTAGAACTCGAGTCTGCGACCAGCCAAATTCCATCAGGTTTGGCACAGGTTTCATTGTGGCACATCGTGACATTACTAAAGTCGTACGTAAGCATTGGCATATACTAAAACTAGATCCCTGACTGGCAACTATTCTCCCACAAGCTCCCCAAGTGACTTTCAGAAAGGCCCGTACCATTAAGAATATCTTAGCCCCAAGCAAACTCTCCTTGTCTCCTCACAAGAAACATGACACCTGTTCCTACTTTGATAATAGAATCGTTATCTACAAGTGTAAGAAGAAGGGTTGTCTCACTTGTCAGTTCATTACTCATGGTAGGCCACACATTTCTGATTCCAAAGGTATTATTTATGACATCCGTCAATTCATTACCTGCGCTACAGATCATGTGGTGTATGTGCATACCTGTCTGTGCAAACTGTTGTATGTGGGCCATACAATACGTCCCCTACAGAAACGAATTGCTGAACACAGAAGATTTATAAAAGAGGGGTGCGATAAACACAGTGTCCCCAGGCCTTTTTTTACCCCCCATAATAAGAATTTCAGTTTTTTAGAAGTTATGGCCATAGAACATGTCCCTAAGGGAACTCTCACGAACAATGAGAGGTTAGCCCTCTTATGTAGGAGGGAAACCTTTTGGATATTTACATTTAGTTCTATGGCACTAAATGGCCTTAATAAAGATCTAGAGGTCCATAGTATCATCTAATATTGGATCTTGTTGTATTCCAATTCAGCCTAAGGAGTATGTATATAGTTTTCTTCGATTTGTCATTCTGGCTTTCCTTTGTCTCTTCCTCCCCACCCCTGTATACACGGATGTGTTATGAATTTACTCTTATTAATTTTTCATTATAATCACATTATGGCCCCCTTTTTCTCATATATATATATATATATATATATATATATATATTTGGATATTTTCACTATGATGTTGTTACTGTACTATATAGTAGATTGATGCCATTCCACGAGCATGCGCAATTTTAAAGCATGACATGTTGGGTATCTATTTACTTGACGTAACATCATCTTTTACAAAAAAATTGGTGTATATATTGGGTTTTTTTAGGGGGGGGGGTTAAATCATAAAAGTGTATTTTTTTCCAAAAAAATTGCATTTGAAAAATATATTCATTTTTAAAAACTGTCCATTTCGGTTTCGGTTTTCAGCCAAGTACATCCTGAATTTTCGGTTTCTGCACCAGAATTTTCATTTCGGTGCGCCATTAGTTTATTTTTGCCATCTGTATACCATTGGGGACATTTCCCTTCACTTCCTGCATAGCCAAAACAGGAAGTGAGGGAATCCCTGGTTGTAACTAGAACTAGCGTTCCCATTGGAAAATATCCCCACTATTCCTATTCTAAGAAAACCCAAAAATTAGGACTTTCACTTTTGTTGAAAATGGTAAACAGGACAAATAGGGAGGGCGAATCTTGATACCGAAGGTACAGAGAGCAATAAAAACCTGACAGGTGTTCCCTCTCCTCTCTATCCAAAACTAAAAAAAAGTTTTGTCTTTAGTTACACTTTAAAGCTATTGTAAAGGTTTTTTTATTTTGGGGGGGGGGGGGGAAGGAAATAGCAAACATATCTATACTTACCTGGATCCTCCTCTTCTTGGATCCCCCGCAGGCTTTCCTGGCCCCTCCCTCCTGTCAGGTGCCCCCACAGCAAGCAGCTTGCTATGGGGGCACCCTCTGCTCCGTGTGTCCATGCACACACAGAGCCAAGGCTTGGTCCCACCCTCCCTCTGTCCTCATTGGCTGACTGGCTATGATTGACAGCAGTGGGAGCCAATGTCTTCCACTTGCTGTCTCAGCCAATAAGGAGGCTGAGACCTGGGACAGCTGAGGCTGTCGTTCAACATCACTGGATCTCAATGAGGCTCAGGTAAGCATTGATGGTACTGTTGCACACAGAAGGTTTTTTACCTTCATACATAGAATTCACCTTCAGCCTTTACAACCAATTTAAGGATTACATATAGCAGTTATGGTTTTGCTATGTGTAACTCAACTTTTCCTTTAGTTTTTATATTTTGTTTGCATCCAGAGGTTCTGACTGTGGAGTTTTACAATGGAGGGCCTCATTGGTCTATAGGGAACATGTTGATATAGAAATCTGGGAGCTGCCATTGCTAACACCAGGGTTGGTATCCTTGTTTTGTTACTCTGAACTGCACTGGAAAAGGCAAGCAGCCAGTGACGAATCTGAGCAATTGATATGCATGTATTTCTGGATTGGTGAGTCACTAAAGCTGACTATACTGTACAATAGTAGAATTTAGTTTGAGTAGTTTTTAGCTCAGTGCGGGTATGACCTGCTCCCTCTGAGTGTCTGCACACACTGCCTCTACTCGCCGTGTCAGAAGCGGTTATACTCAGTAAATGCATATTGATTTCAGCCACATGTGAGTGCATAAAGGAAAGCAATAAATTGATGTTTTATAAAACGATAAGGCACCATATATCTTTCTTTCTTCCACTATATTAACGAGGAAATAAGGGAGAAGGAAACATTTCCACCAGCAGTGCAAGGAGGCAGAGATTACCAGTTTCCTTCAGAAGCCATCCAGCCAAACACAGAGGAGCTTTGAAAGGATCCCAGCTACACCATACATCCAAATTAAGGATCCCATCAACACCCAATTTTCACACAGCTGTGTTAGCCTAGCAATAGGCTAACAAGGAGGTGAATGCATAATATTAGCAACACCCAAGAAAAGATTATTTTGGACATTCATTTGGACATTATACATTTGTGTTTCCCACATTTATATTGATTATATTTTTAATTTTCTAGACACTCTTTATTATTATTATTTTTATTTATTTAGTACTCTTTAGTAATATTGTATATTTAATTTTTTTTTTTGTTTTTTTGTTTTCTTGTATTTTAGTTCAAAGCTGTATCATAATTGTTTTAGACAATCATACATTTCCCAAAAAACGAGGCACCATTTACTACACCATATTTTATTTCACATAAATGAGAATGTGATTAGGAGCCTGCTAGCTATTTTAATATTATTTGGTAAATTATCCTAGTGGCTCACAAGTAGCTACACACACTTGGCTCACAGTCTCCGTTCTGATTCATCCCAAAGGTGTTCTATTGGGTTGAGGTCAGGACTCTGTCTGTGCAGGCCAGTCAAGTTCCTCCACCCCAAACTTGCTCATCCATGCCTTTATGGATCTTGCTTTGTGCACTGGTGTGCAGTCATGTTGGAACAGGAAGGGGCCATCCCCAAACTGTTCCCACAAAGTTGGGAGCATGCAATTGTCCCAAACATCTTGGTACTCTGACGCCTTAAGAGTTCCCTTCACTGGAACTAAGGGGTCAAGCCAAACCCCAGAAAAACAACCCCACACCATAATCCCCCCCAATCGAACTTTACACTTGGCTCAATGCAGTCAGGCAAGTACCGTTCTTCTGTCAACCGTCAAACTCAGACACCTCCTGTTGCAACAGTACCAATCTGTAGAATCATCTTCAGACAGCATAAACATAGGAGCAATCTATGATAGGTAGGCCTGCATATTTAATGTAATTTAAGACTGAATATTCAATTTCTTACTTCAGCCCAATAATGACTGGTTCTCTTTACATGTAACACATTTATAAAAACCCAGAACAATATCTACCTCCCCTATCCTATTCACAGTATGTTTACCAATTGAACTAAACTTGTGTTTCCATTAAACCTGGTTAAAGTGTTACTAAATCCAGGACCCTGCATTCACTATATCTGATCTCCCACAGTACACAGAACATGGAAATGAAATTATTTTAGTAAATATAAACTGCTAAATACCTTTTCTCATCAGCAGTTAGAACAGTCTTGTGACTTATATCTGTGGCCAGCAAAGCACTGGTTACAGCTTTTAGGAAGATTTTTTTTCTCCTGTAGGAGGAATAAACACTAAACTGAGCATGTGTGGTTTGCCCCCAAGGCTCTGTTCTATCAGCAGATGGATTGGGGACTGTGTAAGAAGGGGAGGATCAGAGAAGACAGGATCAAACATCCTTTGTACATAATGCAGAGGATTAACCCCTTAGGTTCCACAATGAGTATAACAAGCATGCTTTACTGCATATACGAACAGATTTTACTGTTGTGGGTTTTAGTAACACTTTATGTACTTGCAAGAGTATAAAGTGACAGCTAGAGATATCTGAACATACCTTTATAGTATATTCCTGAGGAGTCTTAGGATGTTCATATAAGTAAATTTCAACTTCTGCTCTAAAGATAAGCTCTGATACTTCCGCATTTGGAGAAATGTCCAGGCCCTCTATACAGTTCTGCATGCACAAAGGAATTGGTGTGAAGATGAGCATAGGTACTTGTGAGCTCCAAAATGCACCTGCATTTACTGGCTGAGTTTCTCCACTTTGGTGGAGAGTTCATGTATGTATGTAATGGCAATGTACTGTGGCCGGGCAGCAGCTACAGGCACAGCGACATACCCGTACATCGCTCTGGCTGTACTAACACAGGCGAGCTTCCCCCCCCCCCCCCGTGACTGCTGTGTTCGTCAGACACAGCGGAATGAAGATCCTTGTGATCATGTGATTGCTATGCGATCACATTATTGCTATGCGATCACATGATCACAATGTAAGCAAAGCTGTTCTGAATTCATAACAGCTTTGCTTCTCTTCCTAGTGAGCTGTGATTGTCCCACAGCTGTCACATGATACATAAGGCCAATCACGGCAACCTGTACCATGTGATCAGCTCTAGCCAATCACAGATCACTAACTTGAGCTGTCAAAAACCCAACTCATTTGTGACAGTTCATGAAGGAGTTAGATTTATGACAGCAAGCTTTGCATTGCAGGAGAAATGATCTTTATTTCTCCTGCAAAGCAAAGTGTAAAAAATAGAAAACAATCCCTGATCACCCCCGCCCCACACACACACAGTAGTATAATGTTACTATGGTAAAAAAAAAATAAAAGTTAAAGAAAATAAAAAATACCAATACATATTTTTGTAAAAAAAAAATTAATTTTTTTTTATAACTACTTGCCAACCGCTTACTCGCATTTTGTGGGCGAGCAGCAGCTCTTAGCAAAGCGATGTAATCTTGCATCACTTCCTGTTTTGGGGTTTGAACGCACCTGCGCCCTCCGCTGCCCCCCCCCAGTTGGTCCAGGAAGAGAAGAGAAGAGATTACACCACACTACATTTTACACACACACATTAGATTAGCACATTTACAACCCTTTGATTGCCCCTATTAACTCTTTGATTGCCCCGTCACCCAGCCAGTGCCATTAGTACAGTGTAAGTATATAAAACTTTTCACTGATCACTGCATTCCTGCCACTAGTAACATCAGATAGCCTCAGGGTCAGTTAGCGTTAGATTGCCCGCACACTATCAGACTCATGCTATAGGTCGCTGATCACCTCCTAGTATAGTGTTTGTGCGGATCAATATAATGATCATGAACAGAACTATACTAGTGCCTGCTTAGTATAGTGTCTCCAAAAATGCAGTGTTAACAGGATCAGTCCCATTCGTTGCCAGTACTAGCGTTTAGCCCCTCCGCTATTTTTTTCACGAAAGATTTATACCAATTGATTGTGGGCCAAAGCAATTTATACGCACAACAATACAACGCAGCCCACCCAAATTCAGCTCTTGTCAGACAGTTCACATGGAAACCTATAACAGTTTCTGAATTTAAAACTTTTTTGGGCCTAACCCTCAACATGGCCATTACAAAAAAGAATGAATCGCGGTCATATATGTCCACAGACCTGATTCATCATATGCTCATGTTCTCTGATGTTATATATATGCCCAACATGGACCAGCAATGTACTGGTACATCGCTGGACTTTGAGTGGTTATATCGGGATCATGCAGCTACAGGCATCATCCTGCTATTGTTTTTTTTCTGCTGGCAGTCGACTTTCATGTAAAAGCAATACTAGTGGCCAATTAGCTGCTGAATTGTTTTTACAAGCAGCCACCTTACACAGTTTTCTTGGGCTCTTCTGTCTCACAGGGGAATCCGAGAATGCAGACGGCAGATCCACTGGCTGACCAAAATGGCTCCAATCATCTCTATAGTCTAAGAAAAATCAGAAGCTACAAGCATTTCATCACTTCAGTTTTGCATGATATAAACAGCGCCATTTGTAAATTGGGAAAGCATCTGATCACACTGATCTTGGTGAGATCAGATGATGTAAGGACAGAGGAGATATCTAGAGTCTAATAGACCCTAGATTTCTCAAAAAAAGAATACCTGTCAAAAATGTTTGTACATTGTTGCCATTGCACGTGCATGCGCAATTTTAAAACATGTCATGTTTGGTATCTATTTACTTGGCATAAAATCATCTTTTATATGTTATCAAACAATTGGGCAATATGTTGTGTTTTTGTGCATTAAAATTCTAAAAAGTGTATTTTTCCCAAAAGATTTGCGTTTGAAAAATTGCTGCGCAAATACTGTGTGACATAAAAAAATTTTTTAACACCCACCATTTTATTCTCCAGGGCCTCTGCTTTAAAAAAATATAATGTTTGGGAGTTCAATGTAATTTTCTAGCAAAAAAACAGTTTTTTCATGTGAACAAAAAGTGTCAGAAAAGGCTTGGTCTTCAAAAGTGACATGTGTGGCATTAGCTTCTCTTGATGGCTCTGAAATGCCAGGATAGCAGAAGCAACACCTCCAAATGACCCCTTTTTGGAAAGTAGACACTCCAAGGTATTTTTTCTTTTCTTTTCTCAAAACCCTGTGACAAAAATGATATCTGTAAAATACTCACCATACCTCTTATCAAAATCCTTGGGGTGTCTACTTTTCAGAAAGGGGTAATTTGGCGAGTGTTTGTACTCTCCTGGCATTTTACAGCCTCTGAAACTGTGATAGGTAGTGGGGAAGTGATATGAGGAAATATGCCCTTTGAAAGCCTGGAGGTGGTCATTAGATTTTGGGGGCGTGCATGTAGCTAAGCTGCAAAAAGTCTCTCCCATGTGGTATCCCCATACTTGGGAGCAGTAGGAGAATGCGTTATGGGGTGTTATTCCACATATACCCATGGCATGCATGAGCAATATATCATTAAAGTGACAACTTTGTGTAAAAACAATAATAAAATGTCATTTTCAAAAAATGTGTGGCAAAAAATAAAATTTTCCATGGACTCAACATGCCTCTCTGCAGAATCCTTGGGATGTCTACTTTCCAAAAAGGGGTCATTTGGGGAGGGGGGTTGTACTGCCCTGGTATTTTAGCACCTCAAGAAATGTGATAGGCAGTCAAAAAGTAAAAGCTACGTAAATTCCAATATATATACCATAGTTTGTAGATGGTATAACTTTCACACAAAGCAATTAATATACATGTATTGTTTTTTTTTTTACCAAAGACATGTAGCAGAATACATGTTGGCCTAAATTCCTAAATTTGTGACTAACTTTGAGTTTATTGGACATTTTTACAACTTAAAGTGAAAAATATAAATTTTTTTTTTAAAATTCAGCCTTTTTTTTGTTTGTAGTGCAAAAAGTAAAAACCTCAGAGGTGATCAAATACCACCAAAAGAAAGCTCTATTTGTGTGAAAAAAGGACATAAATTTTGTTAGGGTGCAGCATTGCACAATCGCGCAATTACCAGTAGAAATAGCGCAGTGCCGAACAGCAAAAAATGGCCTGGTCATGAAGGGGGGTAAATCCTCTGGAGGGCAAGTGGTATTGTAAAGGAATCTTTTCATAATATTACTGACATCCTCTGAAATTGTTATTTGCACGGTTATCATGCTGACTTTGCTTTAATACCCGTCACTTTCCCAGAACAAGGATATGGATAAGACTTATGACTTTTCTTTGATTTTGCATATTTCCAGGTCAGTGATTTAAAAAGTACAGAAGAAATTTTAGCAGGATAACAGCCAGCCAACTAGCATTTTCAGAAAGGGATCTGCAATGGCAGTTTGTCTCATGACAGGTGTACTTTAAGTATAGGTGCTCTTTATCGTCCTCAGCAATATATGATCTAGTAAACAGCTTCAGGTCACAGTTTGTGAATCTGGAACTTTCCTGTGGGGTCTGGAATAAACCATCTCTCCCAGAGTTTGCTGTGTGAGCTAGGGATTCGCCAGGGTTTGTATCTTCCATTCCAGTGAAGCAGCTTGGCATCCCTAAGGACACTCTGTGAAATCTGATCATCTGGACTCCATCCTGCAAAAGAAAAAAAAAGGCATACTGCTAACACAGAAACAGCAGTCCATTTTAAAATAAGATTTTATAACACTTATAAACTACTCTTCAGAATTGCTCAAGAAGACATGACGTATGATTCCATGTGAGGTAAAAACAGCCATCAAGCAAGCTTCTTTGGGTAGACCTGGTATATTGCCCCATATTGAGCTGTCTTTCACATTTCAATCCTGATTTGTATCAGGTCATCAACACTTTCTCACGCAAATTCCTTGTGGTCATCACTTCACACTCATAGTAGCACTGCCCTATCAGTACCAACCAGCAGGTAATCTTGTTGAGGGTACATTTGGGCAGGGGCCCCTTCAGGAGGAGGTTGGGTGGCATTTTTCATCCATTGGTCTCCGTTTTTTCTTTTATTTTTTGTTTCATAATTTTTGCCTGAGATATATGAGAAATCTGTGGCTGTGTTCAAATAACAATTTGTTCTTAATATTTCCTGGCGGTTTTTACCTCACATGGAATCATACGTCATGCTTTCTTGAGCACTTCTGAAGAAGAGATTTTTGTTGATCTCGAAACGCGTCAAGTGCAAACCATGCATGATCCATGATTAGATTTGCAATACCATCTTTGAGGACACCGCCGCAATATGTATTGTAGCTTTATATTTATTTTTGAAGATTGTAAAAATTAAATTTCATACTGTTTTTATAAAAAATCTTTTCTGAATTGTTGAAATTTATCATACAAGTAAATTGTGCCATTAAAGTCCCACCAAAAAAAGAGGACTTTTCCCCCCTTGTATCCAAAACACAGTTCCACTTTAGATACGACGTAGTGAATAAAAAATCAGCCACCATAACATATGCCTTAAGACACAGGTCTATTTATTTAAAAAATTGCTGTATGAATGTCACAGCGTTCGCAAATAATCCCCATAATATGTTTAATATGTATATTTTCTATGATTGTGGCCATAATTCAATATTTTCCTGAAAATACTTCAATCAGGAAAACACCATATTATAGTCACTAGATGGAGCTGACAATCATAGGAAATACAGTGCTGTGAAAAAAATAATTTGCCCCTTCCTCATTTCTTTTTATTTTTTGCATATTTGTCACACGTAAATGATTCAGATCATCAAACAAAATTTAATATTACACAGATAGCCCAGGTAAATACAAAATGCAGTATTTAAATGATGACAATGTATTAGGAGAAAAAGCTATCCAACTCTGTCTGGCCCTTTGTGAAAAAGTAATTGCCCCCTAAACCTAATACCTGGTTGTGCCACACTTGCTGGCAACAACTGCAATCAAACATTTGCGATTACTGGCAATGAGTCTTTCACATCGCTGTGGAGAAATTTTAGCCCACTTTTCTTTGCAGAATTGTTTTAATCCAGCCACATTAGGGGTTTTTTGAGCATGAACAGCCTGTTAAAGGTCATGCCATAGCATCTCAATCTGACTTAAGTCTGGACTTTGACTAGGCCACTCCAAAACCTTTATTTTGGTTTTTTTTAGCCATTAAGAGGTGTACTTGCTGGTGTGTTTCAGATCATAGTCTTGCTGCATAACCCAGGTGTACAAGAGCTTGAGGTCATGAGCTGATGGCTGGACATTCTCCTTCAGGATTTTCTGTTAGAGTACAGAATTCATGGCTCCATCAATTATGGCAAGCCATCCAGGTCCTGGAGCTGCAAAGCAGCCCCAGACCATCACACTACCACCACCATGTTTGACTGTTGGTATGACGTTCTTTTTATGAAATGCTGTCTTAGTTTTACGCCAGATGTAACGGGGTTCATAGCTTCCAAAAACATCAACTTTTGTCTCATCAGTCCACAGAATATTTGCCCAAAAGTCTTGGGGATAATCAAGATATTTTTTGGCAAATTTGAGACAATCCTTTCTCTTTTTTTTGGTCAGCAGTGGCTTTCACCTTGTAACTCTTCCATAGATACCATTTTTGCTCAGTCTTTCTTATAGTTGAATCATGAACACTGACCTTAACTGAGGAAAGTGAGGCCTGCAGTTTTTTAGATGTTGTCCTGGGTTCTTTTACACTCTTGGGAGTAATTTTGATAGGCTGGGAAAGTTCACCACTGTTCCAAGTTTTCTCCATTTGTGGATAATGGCTCTCACCATGGTTCGCAGGAGTCCCAAAGCCTTAGAAATGGCTTTGTAACCCTTGCCAGACTGATACATGTCAATTACTTTGTTTCTCATCTGTGCTTGAATTTTTTTAGATCGCGGCATGATGTGTTGCTTTTTGAGATCTTTTAGCGTGCTTTACTTTGTCAGACAGCTTCTATTTAAAGTGGTTCTACAGTCTTAAGGTTTTTTTACCTTCATGCATTGGATGCATGAAGGTACAAAACATTCAGTGTGCAGCGGCCCTCCCTCCCCCCCAATACAAACCTGAGCCTGATCTCGGTCCAGAGATGTGCACATCCCGGGTCTCTCTCTATTTATTGGCTGAGACACAGCAGCAGGAGCCATTGGCTCTCACTGCTGTTCTTCACAGCCTGTGAGAAGGGGGTGGTGGACGGGGCAGAGTCCCACTCTGCTGTGTCTTATGGAAGCAGAGAGTGGGGCTTGGGGATATACTGGGGCTTGGGGCTTGAGCACGTACCAGTGCCCCCACAGCAAGCGGCTTGCTATGTGGGAACTGCTCAGGGGAGAGGAGCCAGAATCGCGGGCATCGGACCCAAGAAGAGGATGATCTGGCTGCTCTGTGCAAAACCACTTCAAAGGTGCACGTAAATGCAGATAAATATGACATGCTTGTTATTTAAGAAAAAAACAAAAAAGGAGGCTTTAGTATCACTTTATTTAAGTGATTTCTTGATTTAACATGTCTGGCAAGTTAAATTTAACTCAGCTTTCCCAAAAAATGTGGTTAATCAAAGTTCACTCATGATTTAGTAAGAGGGGAGTGGCAATTGCTTTTTCACACAGGGCCAAGCAGGTTTGGACAGCTTCTTTCCCTTAACCACTTCCTGTCCGGACACTTTCACCCCCTTCCTGTCCAGGCCAATTTTCAGCTTTCAGCATTATCACACTTTGAATAACAATTGCGCGGTCATGCAACACTGTACCTATATGAATTTTTTAGCATTTTTTTGAGACAGATAAAGCTTTATTTTAGTGGTATTTATTCACCCCTGGGATTTTTATTTTTTTTGCTATGTAAATGAAAAAGTCCAAAAATTAAAAAAAAAAGTGTTTTTCTTATAAAATTTTGCAAATAAATATTTCATCATAAATCTTGGCCAAAATGTATTCCGTTTTCTTTTTAGTAAAAAAAAAAGTCAAATTAGTTTTTAACCAAAAATTATAATTTTTAAAAAAATGTTTTTTACATTTTTTTTTTTTTTTATTGTTATTTATGTTTTTTTTTTTTTTTTTTTTTTTTTTACATACTGTCACCCTAGCAGTACAGTGTCACCATGGTGACACTGTACTACTTGTGGGGTGTGATGAAGATTTTTTTTTTTTTTTTTTTTTTACACATTGCTTTTACACCCATAAAGGCTGTAAAAGCAATCATTTCTCCTTCTCTCTGGCTGCATTCTTACAGCCATTGAGAACTACTGAGTGAGCTGTGATTGGTCACAGCTTGTCACATGGTACAAGGCTGTTGTGAATAGCCTTGTACCATGTGACCTCTGTGATCATTCACAGATTTCACACGTAGTAAGCAATGATGTCACAAGTGACATCTTGCTTACTACTCTGCATATGATCACTGATTGGAATATAACTGGATACTAACATTTATAGGTAAAGTTGATCTAGGGAATATCTGACTGTCTTTCGGGGGATCAGGAAGGAATTTTTTCCCCCGCAGGAGCAAATTGGATCATGCTTTTCTGGGTTTTTTTTTTTTTGCCTTCCTCTGTATCAACTGTGGGTATAGGATTATAACTTTTTTTTATTTTATATCTATCTATATATATATATATATATATATATATATACATACAGGTGAAACTTGAAAAATTAGAATATCGTGCATAAGTTCATTTATTTCAGTATTGCAACTTAAAAGGTGAAACAAATATATGAGATAGACTCATTACATGCAAAGCAAGATAGTTCAAGCTGTGATTTGTCATAATTGTGATGATTATGGCTTACAGCTCATGAAAACCCCAAATCCACAATCTCAGCAAATTAGAATATTACATGCAATCAATAAAACAAGGATTGTACATAGAACAATATCGGACCTCTGAAAAGTATAAGCATGCATATGTACTCAGTACTTGGTTTGGGCCCCTTTTGCAGCAATTACTGCCTCAATGCGGCGTGGCATGGAAGCTATCAGCCTGTGGCACTGCTGAGGTGTTATGGAAGACCAGGATGCTTCAATAGCGGCCTTCAGCTCTTCTGCATTGTTTGGTCTCATGTCTCTCATCTTTCTCTTGGCAATGCCCCATAGATTCTCTATGGTTTTCAGGTCAGGTGAGTTTGCTGGCCAATCAAGCACAGTAATCCCATGGTCGTTGAACCAGGTTTTGGTGCTTTTGGCAGTGTGGGCAGGTGCCAAGTCCTGCTGGAAAATGAAGTCAGCATCCCCATAAAGCTCGTCTGCAGAAGGAAGCATGAAGTGCTCCAAAATCTGCTGGTAGACGGCTGCGCTGACCCTGGACTTAATGAAGCACAGTGGAACAACACCAGAAGATGACATGGCTCCCCAAATCAACACAGACTGTGGAAACATCACACTGGACTTCAAGCATCTTGCAGTGTGTGCCTCTCCATTCTTCCTCCATACTCTGGGTCCTTGTGCCTCTCCATTCTTCCTCCATACTCAGGGTCCTTGGTTTCCAAATGAGATGCAAAAGTTGTCTCATCAGAAAAGAGGACTTTGGACCACTGAGCAACAGACCAGGTCTGTTTTTCTTTAGCCCAAGTAAGACGCTTCTGATGTTGTTTGTTGTTCAGGAGCTGCTTGACAAGAGGAATACGACATTTTAAGCCCATGTCCAGGATCCATCTGTGTGTGGTGGCTCTTGATGCACTGACTCCAGCCTCAGTCCACTCCTTGTGAAAGTCCCCAATAGTTTTGAATGGCCTTTTCCTGACAATCCTCTCCAGGCTGCGGTCATCCCTGCTGCTTGTGCACCTTTTTCTTCCACACTTTTCCCTTCCACATAACTTTATATTAATTTGCTTTGATACAGCACTTTGGGAACATCAAACTTCTTTTGCAATTACCTTTTGAGGCTTTCCCTCCTTATGGAGGGTGTCAATGATGGTTTTCTGCACAACTGTCAGGTCCACAATCGTTCCCATGATTGTGATTCCTACTGAACCAGACGGAGAGACCATTTAAAAGCTCAGGAACCCTTTGCAGGTGCTATGGCTTAATTAGCTGATTAGAGTGGGACACTTTGAGCCTAGAATATTGCACCTTTTCACAATATTCTAATTTTCTTAGATTGTGGATTTGGGGTTTTCATGAGCTGTAAGCCATAATCATCACAATTATGACAAATCACGGCTTGAACTATCTTGCTTTGCATGTAATGAGTCTATCTAATATATTAGTTTCACCTTTTAAGTTGCATTACTGAAATAAATGAATTTTTGCACGATATTCAAATTTTTCGAGTTTCACCTGTGTGTAAATATATATATATATATATATATATATATATTTATATGTGTGTGTGTGTGTGCAGCGCTTATATATTATACAATAAAATATGTGAATAACAAAAATCTCTATGTGGACTTATTATAAATCAAACATATAAGTGGAAATAACTATAAATAAAGTCCAAAGAGTGAAGTGTCTTTCAGTGTTAATACGAATCAATAATGACCAAAACGTTGAAGTGACATCCATGCAGAGTACATTCTTGACAATCCTCCACCACTATGCACTCACCAGAAATATAAATCAACCAGGCTTTATACAGAAATCCCTCTGAAGAGCATATTACTTCTCCATTACAGGAATAGACATGCTGCCTTGCAGTGGCAAATCCTGCATAAGCATTAGTGAATAAAATACTGCGAGAAGCTAACTGATCAATATTGGGAGACTTGATAATATCATCACCATAACAGCCAAGGTTTGTGCGAAGGTCAGCAACAATTATTAGCAGGGCATTCTTATCACCTGCTGTGTGTAGTGGTTTTGCACAGAGCAGCCTCAATCCTCCTCTTCTCGGGTCCCCCACCGGTTCTCCTGTTGTTCCTAGCGCTCACTAATATTTGACACACACACACACACACACACATATATATATATATATATATATATATATATATATATATATATATAAAAACATTTTTTTTTTTTTAATGGTTGAACTAGATGGACTTGTCTTTTTTTTCAGCCAGACTAACTAAGTAACTGCTGATGAGCAAAGGTATTTAGCAGTTTATATTTACTAAAATAATTGCACTTTTATGTTCTGTGTACTGTGGGGGACCAGATCTAGTGAATGCAGGGTCCTGGGTTTAGTAACACTTTATTATTATTTATTTATTATATAATTAAATCATCATTTAAAAACTGCATTTTGTGTTATCTTTGTGTAATATTAATTTTTTTTTTGATGATCTGAATCATTTAAGTGTGACATATATGCAAAAAAAAAAAAAAATCAGGAAGGGGGAAAATACTTGATCCCCTGCTGATTTTGAATGTTTGCCCACTCACAAAGGTCTGGAGACTGGCTAGGCCACTCCAGGACCTTCATGTGCTTCTTCTGGAGCCACTCCTTTGTTGCCTTGGCCGTGTGTTTTGGGTCATTGTCATGCTGGAACACTCATCCAGGACCCATTTTCAATGCCCTGGCTGAGGGAAGAAGGTTCTCACCCAAGATTTGATGGTACATTGCCCCGTCCATCGTCCCTTTGATGCGGTGCAGTTGTCCTGTCCCCTTAGCAGAAAAATACCCCCAAAGCAGAATGTTTACACCACCATGGTTGACAGTCGGCTTGGTGTTCTTTGGGTCATAGGCAGCATTCCTCCTCCTCAAAACACGGTGAGTTGAGTTGATGCCAAAGAGCTCAATTGTTTTCTCATCTGACCACAACACTTTCAACCAGTCCTCCTCTGCATCATTCAGATGTTCAGTGGCAAACTTCAGATGGGCCTGGACATGTGCTTTCTTGAGCAGAGGGACCTTGCGGGCACTGCAGGATTTAAATCCTTGTCGGCGTAGTGTGCTACCAATTGTTTTCTTGGTGACTGTGGTCCCAGCTGCCTGGAGATCATTAACAAGATCCTCATGTGTAGTTCTGGGATGATTGCTCACTGTACTCATGATCATTGACACTCCACGAGGTGAGATCTTGCATGGTGCACCAGACCCAAGGAGACTGACAACTGTTTTGTGTTTCTTCCATTTGCGAATGATTGCACCAACTGTTGTCACCTTCTCACCAAGCTGCTTGGTGATAGTTTGGTAGCCCAGTCCAGCCTTGTGTAGGTCAACAGCTCTTTGGTCTTTGCCATGGTGGAGAGTTTGGAATCTGATTGATTGTTTGATTGCTCCTCTGGACAGGTGTCTTTTATACAGGTAAAAAATTAAATTAGCAGCACTCCCTTTAAGAGACTGCTTCTAATCTCAGTTTGTTACCTATATGAAAGACACCTGGTAGCCAGAAATCCTGCTGAATGATAGGGGATCAAATACGTATTTACCTCATGAACATGCAAATCGGTGCATAATTTGTTAGACATGCATTTCTTGTGAATATTTTGTTGCTATTTTGTCTCTCAGTGTTACAATACACCTACCATTTGATTTTTAGACTGATCATTTCTTTGTGAGTGGGCAAACATTCAAAGTCAGCAGGGGATCAAATACTTATTTCCTTCACTGTACATAATAGACACATTAATATGTTATTCACTACGGTTGTGCAAATGCTTTGACATGCTACAGGAATTTATTTATAAATAGACCCATTAGTGATCCTTGCAGGGACATCAAATCAGGTATTCAAAGAAAATATATACTTGAAAGTAAGCCTTGAAATGTAATACATCTAGATTGCTTGAGGATAACAGATCCTTGCCACCTCAAACTTTTACTGGCCAGTTTACATCCTCAAATTGATGCTCGAATTCCCTAAAAACTTTGGACACAAAGAAAATAATATCCAATAAAGCAGTGTCCTGCTTTAAAGCTGAACTCCAGGCAAACAGCTAAGTACACAGATGACATACATATGGGAGAGTTGTTTTACCAGTGAAAACTTGTATTTTTGTCCATCCAGTCCCAAGCTTTTCAAGACAGGAATGCCAGCATGGAGAACTGCATGTAAATAATACAACTAGGTCTTGTCTCTGCATCCAGCTCAGATTGGACAGTAAAGAATCATCAAATTGATGTTCTCACCTCCAGGTCACTCTCCTCTCCCTTCCTATCAGCATACTTCTTATTAGCATATAAGCACTGAAGCACAACAGACTAGCCCCTTGTGCTGCACTTCAATCCTCAATCTGAGCTTTGTTGTACAAGGTTTTTCAAGAGGTCAAATTCAAATATTTACAGTAGTTGCTTTTAAAAATACTAAGGAACATATCCGCATCAACTGATGTTTTTTCTGTATGGGCTTCATCTTTAAAGAGTGATGCCACCCTCTAGCTATACATTGTGTTAAGAGTGAGAATTGCGAGAAGGGATGAACAAAATTCCAAATATTTGGGTGAGTAGCATAGTTCACTTACGTGTTTAAAATGTGCATTCGGCAGATTGGTTTAAATTCTATTTAAATGTTAATACTTTTTTTGATAAAATTATAGTTACATCATTTACCTAAACAGCATCTCTGCATGATGAAATGACAGAGTGTACTCACCCAAATGTCTGATGTGCCAGTTTGGAGTAATTGGGGAATGTTTATCATGGAAGACAATAAGCATGGGAGGAGTAGCTACACCTCCACCAACAGTGCTGCTGTATAGATTCTCTCTGCAAGAAAGCACAGTGTTGCTAATAAACGGCCATTGTATTGATCTCTTTCATACTCACTGAAGAGTACAGTTGTACTCAAAAGTTTGCATACCTAGGAAGAAATTGTAAAATGTTGGCATTGATATTGAAAATATGACTGATCATGCCACAAAAACTGTCTTTTAAGGATAGTGATCATATGAAGCCATTTATTTGGCCCCTTTTAAAATCATAACGATAACAGAAATCACCCAAATGGCCATGATCAAAAGTTTACATACCCTGGAATGTTTGGCCTTGGTAACAGACACACAAGGTGACACACACAGGTTAAAATGGCAATTAAAGGTTTATTTCCCACATCTGTGACTTTTTAAGTTGCACTTAGTGTCTGTCTATATATAGTCAATGAGTTTGTTAGCTCTCATGTAGATGCACTGAGCAAGCTAGATACTGAGCCATAGGTGTAGCAATTGTGTACACTGATATGGACGCGGTCATCCATCTTGCTCAAGATTCACCATCTTGTATCATTCTCTCTCCCTCCAATCCCCCTCCCTCAGGAATGTGGTCTGTGTGTATGCTGAGGTCACAAGGCATCAGACACAGCTGGATAGCTTCATGGTTATAAACCCCAGTTAGCCTGGGCCCAGTATGTCTGTGAGACTCTTGCTTGGAGATGATCGTAAAGCTATAAACCAGTCCTTCACTGGACATGAAGGATATTCCAGGATGGCCGTAAAACATACATCCCATTTAAAAACTACTTTTCATAACTTAAAATAGGGAATACATACAATCGAACAAAGCATATATTCGGATAGCTCAGTTTAATGCGAGTCGCCTGATATCTTACACCCCTAGATTAAGTCTACCCGAGAGCAGAAAGCGATATCTCTTTAACCGTCACACGTAGATATGTCATATCTGATATCTAGACGTTCAGCAGATGATTATGCATATTATCCTACCAGTGGATAGGATGCTCCATGTACCTATGGAAGACTATTGACCATGGTATAAACGTGTGAGGAATTTGGTCATAGCAGAGTTCCCCGCCTAAACACCCTCCCCAAATGAGGCGATTGGTTCTCTGCTTTAAGGAGACACCCTGCTGGTGGACTAGAAAATAGGCTGTCAGGCCTGAGAGAGAGAAGTTGAAGAGATCTCCCTTTTAACATCAGGAATCAACTTTGGGAGAAAAGGCACCCTTTTGCTCAGAACCTTTGAAGCTGCTTAAACCAAGGCTGACGGCAATTATCCTACCTCTCTAAACTTCTTTCTGTTATCTCTCTGTTGTGGTATTGCTCTCTGTATTTATATATATATATATATATATATATATATATATATATATATATATATATATATATATATATATTGGCTACATCTTTTTCTGTAAATATTTTTGTTGCACCATTTTGACCTTTTTAGTAATAAATCCTATTATCTGAAAAGTGTTGAACTGTTTCTAAATCTCTTTAATTCAAACTAAGAATCCCTTCCTCTGAAGAGCGCTACTGTGTGTTTTGAAAAACTTCTGTATACATCTGCCTGCGGTGACAGTGTGTATGCAGACGCTTATTCAAACATCATAGTGTTACTGCTAAGATTGGTGAGTTTCCTCTTTCTCTGTACAAAAGGGAGGTGGTGGCAGTGTGAAGGGTTAATTGCGTAATTAACCTGACCCAGAAACAATCACTCTCAGGCTGCAGTACATAGATTGTGGTCCATTAGCTGGAAAATCTTTGTGCAGGGTACAGCTGAGCGTGGCATTGTTACGCACGTGACAGCGCAGTTTTAGATTGGCTAGTCCTTCGGTCACGAGTTGGTGAGAAGGGCTGGGGGTCTGACGCCGCGTCCGTCACAATAGGGAGTAGAAAAAACTGTCAAAAAGACCTGCGTAATAGGGTAAAGATGGAAAAGGAAATAAAAAGATATCCAAAGCCTTGAATATGTCAGTCAGTACTGTTCAATCACTTATTAAGAAGTGGAAAATAAGGGGCTCTATTTATACCAATACCAAATTAAAAAAGAAAAAAGCGCCACTTACAAAAAACACCAAAATGTCAGCAGCATATCCCACCCAAAATAAATTTTGGCAACAATAATCCGAATTAAAAGGTATGCGCTAATAACCGAATTAAAAAAGTATCATGCGCTAATAACAAACACTGTATACAAAAGTGTATATCAATTCCTCTGGCAGTTGTGGCGCTGCAATCTTTCTTGGTCTACCTAAAAATAGAGCATTAGTGTTTTAAATAAAAAATATACAAAAGTGTCCAAACATAAATTAGTGTCCAAATAAATAATATATATATCTTCAGTGACGTGTCCAAAAAATATAATTTCAGTGAACCAATTGTGAAAAATCCACCACCAAAGGAGATTAAATGAACTCACCAGAGCTAATGGCTGGTCAGATTATAAACCAGCAACAGCGCTTGTGCTCTGGGAGCAATGAACCCGATGTCCAAATAGATATGGTGATGTTTCAGATACTTCCAGATAATAATCACAGACAAACAACTTTGCAGCCAAAGCTCTTATGATGAACTTCTCCACTCTCTCATACCTCCATGAGAGCATGCAGTACACTCAGGGACAAAAAAGAGAGCATAATGGTGCAATACGTTTTTTTTTCATTTATCTCTTTACCAGCTTCAATCGCAAAAAAAGGGTTGAGATACAGTTAACGCTCACCGCAGATCTCTCCCATACAGCACAGAACAGCAAGACTCTCTAACGTCCACATCGAGTAGGCTACGCCTAACCGGTTTCGTCACACCGACGTCATCAAGGGGGCGGTAGCGATTGAAGCTGGTGTCTGTTGGACACCTTGTTTGTGAGTTTCCTTATACCTTTTTTATTAAAGAGATAAATGAAAAAAAACGTATTGCACCATTATGTTCTCTTTTTTTGTCCCTGAGTGTACTGCATGCTCTCATGGAGATATGAGAGAGTGGAGAAGTTCATCATAAGAGCTTGGGCTGCAAAATTGTTTGTCTGTGATTATTATCAGGAAGTATCTGAAACATCACCATATCTATTTGGACATCGGGTTCATTTCTCCCAGAGCACAAGCGCTGTTGCTGGTTTATATAATCTGACTAGCCATTAGCTCTGGTGAGTTCATTTAATCTCCTTTGGTGGTGGATTTTTCACAATTGGTCAAGTCACTGAAGATATATATATATTTTTTGGACACTAATTTATGTTTGGACACTATAATTATTTATTTAAAACACTAATGTTTTTTTGATGATGATATACACTTTTGTATAAGTTTGTTATTAGCGCATACCTTTTAATTCGGCTCTATTTATACCAAGCCAAGGTTAGGTAGACCAAGAAAGATTGCAGCCACAACTGCCAGAGGAATTGTTCAAGATACAAAGAAAAACCCATAGGCAACCTCGGTCGAAGAAATACAGGTCTGGACAAAGACAGTGTGGTTGTTTCAAGGAGATTCATGGTGGAGTTACCAGAAACAAGCTTTTACTGCACCAATGCCACAAAAAAAAGCCCCATTACAATATGCCTGACCACATCTTGACACACTTCACAGCTTCTGGCACACTGTAATCTGGAGTGACAAGACCAAAATAGAACTTTAGGGTTACAACCATAAGCACTATGTTTGGAGAGGGGTAACAAGGCCTATAGCGACAAGAATACCATCCCCACTGATGTTTTGGGTGTGTGTGTGAGCTCTAAAGGCACGGCGAATCTTGTGAAAATTGGTGACAAGATGAATGTAGCATGTTATCGGAAAATACTGGCAGACAATTTGCATTCTTTCTGCATGAAAACTATGCATAGGAAGCTCTTGGACTTCCCAGCACAACTATTACCCTAACCACAAGGGCAAGTTGACCCTCCAGTGGTTGCAGCAGAAATAGGTGAAGGTTGTGCAGTGGCCATCACAGTCTCCTGATCCTAATATTATCAAGCTACTCTCTGGAGATTTAATTGTGCGGTTCATGCAAGACGATCAAAGACTTTGCAAGACCTGGAGGCATTTTGCCAAAACAAATGGGCAGCTATACCACCTGCAAGAATTCAGGGCCACATAGACAAATATTACAAAAGACTGCATGTTGTCATTGATGCTAAAGGGGGCAATACACAGTATTAAGAACTAAGGGTGTGCAGAGTTTTGAACAGGGGTCATTTCATTTGTTAACTTGCTGCCATGTTTTATTTTATGATTGTACCATTCCGTTATGACCTACAGTTGAATATGAATTCCATAAGAAATAAATGTATTTTGCCTGCTCACTCATGTTTTCTTTAAAAACAGTACATACTGGATATTACCAAGTCTCCAAGGGAATGCAAACTTTTTAGCGCAACTGTTTATTTATAAAGCAGTGAAATGTGACATTCACCAAATATTCACTGCATGTGTATCTTCTTGGGGATATGTGTTTTAAATTACAGTGATTGATTCACTTGCTGTAAATGTTTGGTAAATGCTACATTTAAGTTGAAATTGCAGGGCTATAAAAGAAACTATTGAAATACAAAAACCAATCTGGTGCATTTGCCATCCACCTACCATATCCTCAATAGCAATCATAAAATAAATGTCCAGTCATAGACTTCTGAAGATTAGGCAATTACCATATGGAAGAAATCAGTGCACAAAATTTCAAATTCTATGACGAACACTAAGTGCCACCATATGGTCAAGGTGAAGACTCACCAGATAGTAGGACCTTACTTGTATAATGGTCAATACTAATTTGTGTCAATAAGGGAAATGCAGAACTCCTGTGCCATCCGGCTTTCCCAGCATTCTTGATCTATAAGGATAATGGGTACTCTCCCACAAGAAGAAACAGAAAAAGAGACTCCAAATTGTGCCACTTAAAACATGCATTGCAGTGTGTTGGTAGCTCATTCAAAATAAATAAGCTGCCTTAACATAACACATGACACATGTAGCCGGGTGTGCAGAGCTTGCTCACTTCATTCACACCCTTCCCGTGAACAGAAACAGGAGTAGGTTGTGGGGTATAGAGAGCTAGAGAGACTGTAGGGCTGCAGACGACTGGCTTTATCTTAAGACTGTTCTTACCTAGAAACCCAATTGGTCAGTCATTGCCCACGTTCCTCAAGGAACTGTGTACAACCTACAGAAAGGCCTTACCAAAAAACTGGCTGTACCAAAAACTGTACTTTAGTCATTTCTGGGGTGACTCTTATTAGGCACCATGGATCCACCCATTAAAGGGGTGCACTCAAGATCACTATTATTGTGTTAACTGATTCTGACTCAGGTAAGTTAAATCACCCTGTTATGGTCGCTATGGGCCACTGCTATGGATCACTTTACCTAGTTTTTGCTGCTTTGAAGGTGTTCTTTTTTTTTTTTCTTTATACACCGTTTAACTGCCTTGATATAATACATTTAATGAATCTACCATTTGTCTGTTGGTGGTGGTTTTACTTTCTGTGTACTGATGAGCGTTAGTATACCTTCAATTTATAAGTCACACAGGTGTGAGCAAGTTTCAAAGCACAACCAGGAATGTCAGTGGGGATTGAGCAGTTTATTGAGTCATGGCACAACAGAGAACCCACCATCACTAGCAGCACCTGTGGGCATAAGCGCTACACACATAGCACACTCAAAGAGTAATTAAACTGTGGAAACTGCACCTAAAAAAGTAGGCAGAGGACAAATAGTCACCAGTATTTACTGTGGTCACCTTACAGCTCATCATTTATTACTTGCCATGTCTTCAATTGCACTGTGTGTCTGCATGGAGACAGCGATCTTGGTAGAAGCAGGGTTCTGTTTCCTAATTTCAGTGCATCCAGGAAGGAGAACAGTGAGCACAGTACCAAACCTCACTTTAACTCTCCTGAGACTAGCAATCAGGGGCAGCAGTGCCCTAGATCTCACATTGCAGATACACAATCTATGAGGTTGTAGGAACCAAGCATTTAGATTTTATGCATATGTAAATATTTAAAAGTTTGTTATTGACATGACAATTATTAAAGCTCAACTCTCCCCAATGCTCCAGTGGTCTAAGGTCCTGACATCTTCAAGAGCGATGCAGGATCCAAAGCCCTGCAACGGACATGATGACGACAAAGGACAATACAACACTAGAGTGTGATGGTGCTCCATCTTCTAGGGGGGCGGAGTTAAAAGTTTAGGTTAAAGTGCTTCTCCTCTTCCCTAGACAAAATTAGCAGTTACCCTTTGCAGCGGGGATGTGGGTTAATTTTTAAAATTCCACAGTTGGGCTTTAGGCATGCACTAAGTGACTTACTCCACATTTTTCTTCATCCATTTTTCCAGCTTCTTTGTGATGTGCTGTTGCCTCCACTCAGTCATGTTGGCTACAAATACTCCTGGGTTAAAGGAACAAGTGCTTGGGCTTATACTTAGCTTCTGAATAGTTTTCTTCCTGTAGTCAAGAAATCCCATGTAACTGTTCTGCAAGAGAAGACGCATGACTAAATATCACTGTGCGTTGGCAAAAGAACACAGTTTATAAATGGGGTTTTTTTGGCTATCTTTGTCTATAAATCTTTGGCTGCCCATGTACCCATGTACCTCCAGACCTATTGCAAAAGCTCAACTTCAGACAACTAAAAAATTATAGGTTTAACATAAATGAATAAAAGCTGACCTTGGTGAGTGGTCAATGGCTTGTCTCAACCATCAAAGTGGCACTTTTGCCACCACATCTAAGAATTGGTAAGCTGCAATACATTATATGTATTTTTTTGAGGGGGCAGTTAAGATTTGAATAAAAGTTTGCCGCAGTGATGTTTTGAAATTCAGAGAGTTGAATTTGTGGCGCCTAAATCTGCCACATCCATGGCACTTTCAAATGAAAATGTTTACCTACCCTTCAGCAGTAGAGGGAATGCAATATCAACAGGATCATATATAGGAAGAAAATAAGTGAGATCCTTTTGAAGAACTCCTGTGAACTTTGGACATTGATCTAGTACCTGTATTCCTATTTTCATGGCAATTTCTTGTAGTGAATGCTAAGTCACAATCATCAGAAAATGCAGCAACATGTCCCCCTTGATAATTTTGTGTCATAAAGTTCTTGAATATCACCTGAGAATGATAAAAACAAGTTGATTATATTTAAATTTATAAGCAATGTATGTAAACTAATTAAAGAAGAAATGTATAGTCTTTTCAAATGTGATTTTTTTTGTCTTGGTGTTTTTTATTTGTAATGTATGTGTAAAAGAGATTTGCTTGATACAACCCAATTTTTGGAGAATTAGGGTTATACTTTGCCAGCTTTTTGTTGCCCTGACCCAACTTTTTGGAGACATATTCCTGCCATCAATTTCAAAATTACCTTATTTTTTTTTTCAAATTGTACATTTTCGCAGTTTAAACATTTTATGTTATGTTTTATGTTTATGTTTTCTATTTACTATTGTGAATAAATATTTGGGTTTACAAGATTTGCAAAGCATTGCAAATAATGTATATTTTACACAGTGCCCTGACTTTATGGAATTGGGTTGTATATGTGTTATTGTTTTCTTTTCTGCTACAGTTTGTAATTTTATACAATATACAGTATGTACTGTGCATGGTGTCAACCATATTTGCTCCTTATATACTGTATGTTGGCATTTCTGCAGTGCTACACAGTGGTTGTGCTTGTGTTAAATGGGATAAGTCAAATGATTAATCTACAAACCTCTCTACTGAACATAGCAAAATAAATACGAAAGAAAAAGCATAAATGTGAAAGTCACTTAAAAATTACTTTATGGTGAACACTGCAAATATACATTATACAATTTCTTAAGAGAAGCCATTATGATCACAATCATAATTGCACATTTTTTTTTTTTTCAGAAATGTACTGTAACACAACAAGTGTTATGCTTATCTGACACTTGTGTTAACAATGTGAGAGTGTTTTCATTGGCATAAGTATTTTAATATATTCTATATTTAGGAGTACAGAAACATTCCAAAAACAATTCTTATATATAGCAGCTAGCAGATGAGCGAATCGAAGTATCCGAAGTGGGAATTCGATGAGTCGAATATCGGAAAAATTTCGATTCGTGCCGAATCCGAAAAATGTAGCCTAATTCGGACGCGCGAATCGAAATTTTTCAGAAAATGGCGGCTGGCTGACATGTGCGGCGACGGAGCGGGGATGTCTGGGAAGGCGCGCAGACAAGGCGCGTGACCCATAATGCATTCCTCAACTACATGTGATCGCATCAGCCAATCAGCAGCCAGCCAGCCAGCACTGTGTAATGGGTCGAGCTATAAATAGCGGCCATTTTGGAATTCTTCATTTGCCTGCAGTTATTGAACAGAGGCAGACCGCTCTGTACTAGGGACAGGGACAGAGTTAGGGCCACAGAGACGATAATTGGGGACAGAGAAAAGTTACTTAGGGACA